CCGTTCGAGTCCGTGCCTGGTCGGCGAGCCGGGTGGCCCGTGACCACGTCTAGACAAAATATAACGATTTTTTTTTTTTTTTTTAATTTAGTCGGATAATCTAATCCTTATTCTATCCAACTATGTTCGTGTTAATATGTTTTATTTTTTCCTTTTTCTTTTTTTTAAAAAAAAAAGTTGAATTACAGATGCTTGGAGCAATCATATTAAATGGTATCATCAGTTCGATTAAGTTGATACAACTCCATAGTTAATACTCCAATTGATGTTCAACACGCTATTATTCAGCATTATTGGTTGATTTTTAATAAAGGTCAGATATCAAATTTGAAGTTGGCAAATTTTGAATGAGCCATCTTAGTCGTACCAGACATGTGAGCCCCACTACTCAAGCACCTTGATATATTTTCTACGAAGAATTAATATTATTTATTATCTTTTACTAATTAACACTAATATTATGATTAATTTTGTGGGAATAATTTTATTCAACTAAAAGAGTTATGCTAGAAGTCATGGTTATATTTTTAGATGTGTACTAAATGTAGGCGCCCACTTAAGTAGATGTTCTAGGCGCTCCAACGATTAGGCGGCGCTTGGACGGACTAGACGGTTGTGAAAGTATTCATGTCTACGCGAATGTGCGGTCTAGGCGGACGACTAGGCTGTCTTGGCGACATCTAGGTGTCCATATATATATATATTTTATTGAAATTTTTCATTTTAGATTTAAAATGTATTCCTAAACATTATGTGGAACAAATAAAAAATTTAAAAATGTACTACCCTCAATACAACATATAGTATTAAGTATAAAGTATTATAAGATAATTTTTTTACAATTCGATATTCAAGGAATTTTAAGATCAATTTCATCATGAATGTGAAGAACAAGAAAATAAATTTGCCTTTCATTTGCACTGAATACTAGAATGATTTTCTTATCATTGAAAGGTACATTGCGGCTGCTTCCTTAGCACATATATATATACTACTGTTAACAAGGAATATTTTTGACCCATAACCTAGTTACAATGAATATCAACCACACATAATAGGATAAGGGTAAGCTAGGCTATTTGTCTTTTTGTGAGAGTCTCCACATGTGCCACTCTCATTTTCTCTCGTGCCATTATGTGCAACTATATGAGGGGCACAAGGTACTTTCCTTGCATCTCCCATGGTCCCAGCTTGAAGATCTGACGTGGCCAGAGATTCTGCATGGCAGTCTGTATGGCAGCTGGGATGGTCAACAACCCCCCTCAATTCATGCTCGGGTTTGAGACAAATTCCTAATTTGGAGCGAAGACGAGTAAAGAATTGGCCAGATAAAGACTTGGTAAAAATATCAGCTATTTGTTCAATGGAGGGAATATGATGGACTTGGATTGTGTGACAATTCACATGTTCTCTAACAAAGTGGAAATCAATCCCAGCATGCTTTGTCTTAGAATGAAAGACTGGATTTGCTGATAAGTGGCAGACTCCAAGATTATCCATCCAAATTGTAGTAGGCTTGTGTAGAGGGAAGCCAAGTTCTGTCAACAATCCTCTTAGCCAAATGACATCACAGGTGGCTGTGGCCAAACTTCGAAATTCAGCTTCAGTGCTGGATCTAGATACAGTTGTTTGTTTCTTGGCACTCCATGTGATAAGGTTTGGGCCAAGAAAAACACAATTGCCACTGGTAGATTTTCGGTCATCAAGGTCAGATGCCCAATCTGCATCTGCAAAGCCAATGAGGTTTAAGGGACCCTTCTTGAATTGCAGTCCATAATTAATTGTACCAGCAAGGTACCTCAAGATCCTTTTCAATGCTTTCCAGTGGGTATGTGAAGGAGTCTGCATGTATTGACTGATTTTATTCACACTATATGATATTTCTGGCCTACTAATTGTTGTGTATTGGAGAGCACCTACAACACTCCTGAACAAGGTGGGACTATCAAAGGGTTGTCCATCATGTTTGGACAGTAAAGGATGAGATATCATTGGAGAATTCACTCCTTTAACTCCTGTCATTTGAAGGCTTGAAAGAATGTCAGTGATATATTGACTTTGACTCAAAATGAGCCCTTGATCATTGTAAGATGCTGGAACACGCCGACGAGGCGGTCCTTCCCACGGATCGAAATCGGATACCAAACACGTACATACATGATTTCGAATAACCCTAGGCATGCTCCTAAAGGACAAACAGAGAATTACCTTGAAAAGGAGGTTTGATTCGATCTGAGCGACCTTCTAGTATGTGTCCTGACCACGCTTGGACGCCGGATGGACGACGATCCTCCAAACGGTTAAAAGAAGCAGACTGCCCTCGTCTTTCTCTAACCCTTCTCGTTACTCTCTCCACGATGGTGGCTGGA